ATGCAACTACAAGCTAAGAGTCAAGTTAGCTTTTTTTTAACACACACACATACATCTTTGTATAGAAGCCCTTTCAGTAAAAAGTCTGCCCAGCTTTCAACAGGATCTGAAGTTCAGGATCAAGATTTCCTGTCAAGTTCCAGAACTCTGAAAAGTGCCTCCCTCATCCCAAGAGGTGTCATACCTGAGCCAGATGTGACTTAGCTATCTCAGACAAAATACATTTTTTTGCTTAGATAGTGTGGAGTTGTACTTAACAATGACAGAAAAGGGAGCACCTTTAGCCTAGTGTTAATTATGGAAAACAGTCTTAAGCTGTGTTATCTTCTGTTCCATATGACTGCTTAGAGCCCTTAGGCCCTTTTTTCACTATTCCAGGCTTGGCTTTGACTAGAAATTCCATTTTGGACCAGAGAGAACACTTCCCATCAAGTCTGGTATGTACATTCCTAAAAAGGAGGGCTGGTTTCAACTAATTAACATTCTCTAACGGAACAGCTATTTCACCAGAGGATTCATGATCAGCTCTAATTTGACTTATAAGTAATTATTAGAGCAGCATGACAGCAATTACATTAGCTGTGAAAAGAGGGCAGTAAATTAGAGATTGATCAGCAAAAGCTGACAAGAGCTGGCAGGGCTTGAAAGTTGCTGCTTCATGTTGCATTTTCCAGAAGACGATGACTTGGAAGAAAGGGCTGCTCTGATACCAGTCTCCACTCTGTTTCTTGCACAGCCCTTAAGTGGGACAAAAGGAAGAATTATTTTCAGACAAGAGAGTAAACAAGTATGATTTCAGCGACCTTTTCCTCATGCTTTATTTTGGGCTAAGGCACCTCAAGAGACAGTTTTTTCACAGAAAAGCTATACTGGATTTCTAAAATAGTCAAGTTCAGAAGTTCACAGAGGATATGCAGTTTGGTTGTTAGACTAAAGATGTTTCTTTCCTTTATATTCTCTATCATGCAAGCAGTTATCCTCAAATCCAAGTCAATGCCCTACTTGAGTCAAGCATAAAAAATGTGGCAGGACTAAACATTACCCTTATTCAGCAAGTCTTTGGGCAACTGTCACACAAGAAGCTCCACAGCCTATGTTTACTTTTTCTACTACTGAAAAAGCTCAGGCTCAACACACGTCAGAGCCTGAATTAAGAATCACAGTAATAATCACAAGACCATTAGGCATTTTCTTAACCCTAAATTAGCAGAACAGTAAGCTTTCAAAATACTATTTTTCCATACAAAATCTGATTAAAAGTGTCTATAAGCAAGTTGTTGCTCTTAGAAAAGAAACAGAGATACTGAAAAATAATCTAATAAAGCCCTGTCAACCGTTCTCTGCCTACTATCTGCTAAATCAAATCAGAACTGAGAAATCCAAGGTTCTTAAAGAATCAAAACTTTTATCATTCACATTGCAGGTGTATACTGAACACGAACTGAGAAGGGAATGATTGCTAGACCTGTATCATTCCCTGCATTAGCAGAGGTCAGAGAAACTCTTCTTTTTTTTATCCGACTAAACCTAAGATGCACCTAGCTCTTTTAAGAACTTCATTCTAAAATAAATATTTCATCTTTAAAAATAAAAAGGGGGGTGGGGAACTGATAAAAGCAACTGCTGTATCAGAGAGCAAGGAAAAAAACCTCAAATCTGAAGTTTTGCTGTATCTAAAAAGTACATAGATAAGTAGTTTTTTGAAGTCATTCCTTCATATTTTTGTCATTATGTGTCTTGCAGGAATTCTTATGTTACGTTATAAACAAGAACTCCTAATTGCAGACTTTCTAATTGCTGTTCCACATTCTAAAAACTGTTTTCTTAGATCTTTTGTAGAAGCAATAGACCACACACTGTAGAAATGTGCATTCAGATAAAAACACAGCATAAACATTCTGAGAATATGTGGATTTTTTTCTTTCCTGCAAAACTAGGTAAGTACTCTTGTATGAAACACGCTAGTTTTCTTTAGAAATAAAGCTATGAAAATCTCAAAAAAATCGAATGCAATGGGTGATCTACAACAAATCACAAGCATAGAGGTACACTTTTCTGGATGGATAATGCGGCTTACAGAAAAAAACCTGGAGGCTTAAGACGTAAATCAGTCAAATGAGAAGTGAGGTACAATATAACTCCACAGAAATAGGCAAACTAAGGTCAGCAGCCCACAAGTTAGACCGAGATTTTGAAATGGTAGTTTAGTTTTAAAATTCAGGGCTACTTAACCTATGAGAGAATAGTAGCTAATGAAAATTACCTCAGACATTTACTTACATGGCTTTAAAACCATCAAGCCTAGTCCCAGCACAAATTAAGCTGAAGAGGTATGGGCTCTTGTCTCAGCAGTGGTCAGAGAGTGGTCCAAAGATAATTTACTACTAGCATTTTACTTATACATGGGTGAAGGCAAGATGAGGCAGACGAGAAATTTCCTAGATCAAATACTGTTAAATGTCTTGCGATTTTACTGAAAGATTAATCTTTTGCTTTTTAACTAGTAGAATTATTTTGGTCTGTAGCTGGTGGTGACCTCACATTTTGCACCAAACTTTAGTTGGTAAACAACCACAAAAAATTCTATAATGATAAATGGATTCAAATGCCAAAGATGACATGACAAACTGGGGCCTGCTCCAAAGTACGAGTTTGCAAGAGAGGCATTATGGCCTAATAAATTTATTTGAATCACTATAGAGCACAGGAGGGTCAATCTGATCAATCTGATTTCATGTTACTTTAAAAAAAAAATATTTTTCCATGGCTCTAGCACTTTCTCCATCTTCTGTACAAGTGTCATCTATGCACACACACTAAGGTTGCATTAAGAAAGTTTGTCAATATGGACTTTTCAACTAATCCAAATTCCTTGAAATGTGAAAGATACTAGCAACCCGGGAACTTGGCCAGGTCAAGCATCTGCAACTACTGAACACAGCCTACTTTCAATACCAAGCTCTTAAGCTGTTTCCTGAAACAGGATGCATTTGTATACATAGTGATTGTATATTTATTTTACTACAAAAATGGCTATCAAAAAAAAAAAAAAAAAAAAAAAAAAAAAAAAGAAAAATCCCACCCTTCCATACTTAGGGCAACTCCATGTGCATTTCTTTCAGAGACTTAATGACATGATAGGAATAGCTAAAAAACCAAAAAATACACAAAATGTAAAGTCAGGACAAAATTTTAATTCTAAGCGTAAATAATTCAAAGAATCACTATTTTCATGTTTTCTTACCAGATGTTTGCTCTTCTACCTTAAAATAAATATGCAACAAAATGGCTGCTTCCTTTCCTGGCTGATACACTATAGGCACTAAACACAAAACTGACATTGTAATCTTGCAGTACACTCTTCATAATTTCTGGCTTAAAATGGAGTAAGTGGAACCAATTTGGTCTGGTAAAACAGCAATCCATTCCACAACCAAAGAACAGTTTGATTTGCCTCTCAGTTTGTTGAGAAATAAACTGTGAATTTGTGGTGTACTACAAATTCGAACGTAAGTCCATTTGTTTCAAATTGCAACAAATTGGCACTACGTATACCAGTTTATAAAGAAATTAATGACTTTGTTTAGACATTATGAGTTTATTTAGGCCCATAATTTGCTGCACGTAAGTAGTATTTATTGAAGATCAGTTTTTCTCCTTCAGATGCTCTTTACATTTAACCCTATATAGCAGGAATCAGGGTGCTTTCTAAATGGTAAAGTGTATAACCAGTGTAGATAAATTTTTAAAAGAAAAAAGAAGTTAATTTAACCAGTCTTAACTGCTGAAGGAAATCTACCTGAGCGTTCTATGACTTGTAGCACCCAACACCATTCAAGACAAAAATGTAAAGCTCAAATAACAGAATTTTGGTGTGCAAGCTGACTGTAAACAATTGTCTCAATGGGCTTGCTTGTCTTTGAAGAAAGAAGAATCACAGGGCTATACCTCTAATATAAGTTCTGATCATGAATTCTTTAAGACCGTGTGGATGGTGAAAAAAGGGAAGTGGCTTTTAACTCAAAAGTACTTCTCTATCAGTTTAGGTTGAGTTTTCAGCTAACATGGGACTACCCTTAAAAATGCTTTCCTAAAACTATTATACCCAGACTAAGAATTTCAGTGGTTTTATTTTTTAAAGTTCCACTATTATGTCCCTTTCCATGTTTCGGAAGTCTTCCATGGTTCCTGTTCTCCACCTTCCACCACATTTAAAAAAGGAATGCTTATTTACACATAGAAGCCACATCATCAAACACTGGTTTGAAACAATTTCTTCACAGGTTACGTCTGAATCTGACAGAAATTTCAGCTTCCTCAGCCTAAGATTTATTGCCTAGTGAAGAAACAAAACTCTCTGTGGTTCTCCATACTTTGACCAGATCTAATAACTGAAGAGGTAATTTTGACTTTTACAGTTGCCATTACCTTAGAATGAAGTCTGATTTATAATTTCATAATCTTAATTTCTGCATCACATCTTATGTATGTTTTTAAAGAGGTATCTAAATAGAAATATACCAGATTATGACATTAACTAAAGTCAAAAGATTCCTCATGAAAACCAGGGTCCCGATATTATAAGGCTTTTCATACACTTTCTCAGAACTGGGTGCTAAATAATGCCAATTTAGCAGAATACAGTCAATGACACCTTGTTAGCCTTTACAACAATCTCACAAGGTAACAGGATTCAAAAAGGTAACTAAAATGGGTGACTAACAGTCACCATTTGTCTTGCATCTAGTATCACATTAGGGGAAAACTTAAAGGGTCTGATTTCAGAAAGACCGCTTCAAGTGTTTCACAGAAATATTTAAGCGGTTAGACTCATAATGCCCTACGAAATGATGCTGACCCCATTCCTTTGACACATCCTAGGAAGAACAGCAACTTCCTAAGAAGATCGAGCACAGTTTTGATAGATCTTGCATGAAGAAGTTTACATTTGTCTTTCAATAGTCTTTTCAAGCACTTGAACAGAAATAGTCTGACATGAATTTCTCCCTCTTAGTTTATTATTTTTTCATACATATTTCACCAGGCTACCAGTCTGCCTTTATATACAGACTAAGCAGCTTTGGGGAGCCAAATTAGTTTCTTATACTGCTGGAGGTTTGTGATGTAACTTGCAAAAACCAGTCAGCTTCAACACATACCAAAACTTATTACAGAACAGTATCAAGAAGTGTGCTCAGCAGAGCTACATACTTTTTGTGTATACTAACTTATAATTACATGCCATGGAACATCTGCACACAGTATTTAGGAAGGAAGTGCCTTCAATGTCATTTCAGCATGACACGGAAAAGAAACTGTGGAATGAAGTCAGTGTCATCAATCCTCTTCAGAGCTAGACAAATCTTCCTGGTCAGAGAGCTCAGCCACAGGAAAGCGCAGGATGGCTGCCACCCCTGTCAGCTGGCCAAGCTGCTCTCCAGACACGTGAAGGCTGGAGAAAATGCGCACTGTGCCCATGTTCTCCCGCACGCTGTCTACCAACTTAACGTATCGGGCACGGGTAGCCACATCCTGGTGCCGGAAAAGCTCATCACTGATCAGCAGGGTATCAATGGCCATGGCTTCATTGGCCTTTTCCACATGTTTCAGGCCATAAAAAGCCCGGTCAGGCTCGTGCTGCAGCATTTTATAGAAGTCATCTAAGGCTCTGACCTCACCAGCTGCCTTAGTGTCGGAAAGGCGGCTGGTTACGGTTGGGTCACAGAGTGCTTCCTTCAAAGCGTATTTATGTCCTGAGGAAGAGTGGACCTGGAGTGAAAACAAAGTCAGAGGTTTGGTGTTTTCAAAGAGAAAGGACCATTTTCTAGATTATCCAATCACAAATATCTTCCACTATAAATAACAATAACCTTGACAGTTATTTGAGGAAGTAACCTCCTTCTTGAAACTTTCTTTTCTTAAAGGATCTCTCCTGCAACCCAGAACCCACACCAAATCCCTTAAATTGCACTTCAAGAAGAGCAAAAGAAAAGGGTTTCACTTACTCAAAGACTGGATTAAATATGCCCCCCTCAAGGGAGGATTACTTGAAACTACTAAGAAACTGAGACCTGAGCCTCTCTCTTTTAAAGCATTCCAGAAGAGGCCTCTTAAGACTGCAGAGATTTAGTGCAAAGGCATTGAGTCTTGCACAGCTATTATGCTTGCAAAGTTGTGAAGTACACTGAAACTTCTCACACATACTATTACCTTTATACTACAAGCGCAAAAGGCTTCTTGGAGCACTGGGTCTTCTAACGCTGGGAACATTAAGTACTGGAACACACTTCACTCACCCTGCCTCCAGCCTTTTGCAAGTACAGATTACAGGCCCACTCTAACTTAAAAATTATACATGTAACCTTATAAAGACTCATTTTAAGCCCCAAATTTGTCCACTTCAGTAAAAGGTCAAAACTCCCACCCACTCAATCAATGAGATGACGAAGAAATAAGAAAAAATGCCATGATCTGCATAACCTTCAAGACTAACAACAAAATTAACTAACTTATACCACTTCCGCGTACTTTTTAAAAAAACATCTCTAGAAAGCTGTTATTAAAGGTGCACGCTATACAGCATGACAGAGTAATAGTACAGTCAAATATTTTCCAATCTGTACTTCAAACTTCACACCATTTATATTCATATAAATACACCTTCATAGGGAGTTTGATATATTTAATACATTCCCTAGTCCACATTAAGGTATCCTAGGAGGGAACCATCCCTGTATCACGCATAACTACCTTACAGTTCAAGAGGCATGAGAATAGTTTCCTTATGATGCTCAGTAAGAAATTTGTCTAGTAAGTGACTTATTTCCCATGTGACTACGTTTTACTATCACAGACAGACAACTCTCAAGCCACTGCTTAGCACCTTACCTGTAGGAACTTGGACCTGTTCTCCAGCAGAAGTTTATTGTCAGTCTTGACTGCCTGCTGGAACATGTAGTCACAGAACTGCTCCCGCACGAAGCCCGGGCTTGCCACCAGCACGCACTTCACCACCTCGAAGTTGATGTGCCGCTGGATGGCCTGCACCACCTGCTCGTAGAATCTCTCCAGGGCGCGGTCGTGCTGGCTGCAGTTCCCTTTCCTCTTGCGGGGGATGTTCACCTCCACCTTGGCGCGGGTGAGTGTCATGCTGGGGGTGACCAGGCAGACGTGGGCCAGCCCCTCCTGCATGACCACGGCGGCCACGTCGGCGCTCCAGGCCGGGTCGCAGGCCTGCTCGATGCGCTCCAGCACCACGCTGTCCCACTGCTTCTTGGCCAGCGTGAACTGCCGGTTGGGCTCCAGTTCGATGGTGTGGTAGGCGCCCATCTTGACGTACTCGTTCTCCTGGATGTTGGTACCCTTGACGCGCAGCTGGCAAGCCTGCGAGTCGAAATCAATGGCCTCCACGCAGAGGGTGAGCGTGGTGCGGACGCGGTTGCTGCCCACGCTGCCCGTGGCCGACTCGGTCTGCACCTTGCGGATGGTAGAGGCGCGCAGGCTGTCCCCGACCTGCAGCAAGTTGTACGTGTGCCACATGTCCTCAGGCTCCTCGGGGATCAGCGTCACCTGCCCCGCATTGTCCTTCTCCAGGTCCTTCCTCACTAGCCTCATGCCGGCGGTGCCCGTGCCCGAAGGGGCTCCCCTCACTGTCCCGGGCTCAGGCGCGACCCCGCTCCGCCCGCTCCGCGCTCCCGCCGCCGGACCCCTGCCCAGACCGCCACAGTCCGCACGCGCGGCGACCGTCCCCAGCTCCCCGGGCGCATGCGCACACGCACCCCGCTCCCTCAGACAGGCGCCGCTGCGGCGCGCGCGTGTGCGCTTCCTCACCAGGCCGGTCACGGCCGTCGCGGCGCATGCGCGAGAGTAGCGGGAGGGCGCCTAAGCCGCGGCCAGTGCCGGGTCTCCGTTCTGAGGGGGAAACCTTGCCGAGGGAAAGGGAGAGGGAGGGGGAGGCGGCCGAGGTGCTGCGAGGGCTGCGAGCCGGGGTGCATCCCCGCGGCTGCCTCGCCGGGAGCGCGGCGGGAGCGGGTCGCGGTGGCGCTGGTCTGTCCTCTACAGCGCTTCACAGCGGCAGCAGCTCAGAACCGTGGAGGCTCCCAGCGAGGCCCCTGACATTTCACAAGAGGAGAAAAAACCTTAAAACCGGTAAAACGAAGCAGATGTGGAAAGTTGCGGGCACAGATGAAGAAAGGGACGAGCGGCACGGCCGTGGCCATCCCCTGGGCCGCGTCGGCGGGTGCCGGGGTGCCCCGGGGCGCGCAGTGCCACCCCCGCAGCTGCTTTGCCGAGCTGCGGCGGCCGGCGGTCACACAGCGAAACGAGAACTGAAATCTAAACGAAGCAAAATCTAAACCTGGACTGTTACTTGGACGCTGCTCTTAAACCGAACTTTAAAAGTTTTTGGTTAAATTTGCACGAGTCTTGACGGTTTCCTGCATCTTGGTTCAGGGACAGACGAGCACGTGTTAAACGAAGCTTGATGTTAACAAATATGAGTAACGTGCCTTGCAAAACCACAGTCCAGTTAGTTCAGTGATACTTGCAAAGAAACTGGACCTGAACAATTCCTACACAATTCAGTTTGCAGCCCAGACAAATTTAACAAGCCAGAGATGATAAAAAAACTGTTTCATTATACATTAATATTGGAGAAGAAAAGGTTATGTGAAGACCTCGAAGTAACCTTCCAGTATTTGAAGGGGGCCTACAGGGAAGCCAGAGAGGGACTTTCCATCGGGACCTATAGTGATAGGACAAGGGGTAATGGGTACGCATGAAAGAGGGGAAATTTGAGTTAGATAATTATGAAGAAATTTTTTACTATGAAGGTGGTGAGATACTGAAACAGGTTGCCCCACCCCTGGCAGTATTCAAGGCCAGGCTGGATAGAGCCTTGACCAACCTGGTCTAGTGGGAGGTGTCCCTGGACATGGCGGGGGGGTTGGGACTAGATAATCTTTAAGGTCTATTCCAACCCCTTAAAATTCTGTGATTCTAACTTCTGTAGCTTATTTTTGAAACAGCATGGCAACTAGAACAGGTACGTTAAGTTTAGAATGACTACACAGTCTGATAACAGAAAAGTATGAGGATGGCCTCCTACAGATGAGAAGGTGGAAAATTTAGAATGGTTAAAAGGAAGTTTCTGTTTTCCATTATATATTTCTTTTTTTGGAAAAAAAAAAAAACAAACCACTGTGGATTATGGAATTTGCTGAAGTGGAAAGGCTTTGGAGTCAAGGATTTAATGAGATACAAGGCTACTGTAAGCAAAAATGATCCCATATCTCCCATTATGGTGTACACATAAATTCCCCTGAAGTATCTAGCACTAGTCAGTTGTGACAGGACAGTGAACTCAGATCTGGCCCAGTAATGTGTTCCTTGTCTCTAAATTTGATTCTGGTGTACAAACAACTTTATCAGATATTACATAATAGGATTTATTTATCAGACCTCAGAGTCTCTTCCTGTGAGTACACATTCTTAACTCTTTTAGCATGAATAGTTTCACAGATGGAAGCTGGACCACCCAAGGGAATATAACATAAGCACGTGCATAAATAACTGTTTGCTTAACTTGAGCTTGTTCATACTAATAATTGTGCATTAATGTTTTAATGCAAAAACAGAGACACGCTCTGCATTCAGCTTTTCTTAAGGAGTTCCTTTCACATACCAATATAATTTCTTCTTTACATTCTTTTCAATTATAAAATCACACCTGTTGATAGCATGTTGACCTCATGCTATTATTTCAAGGAAAAACAATTGTAGTGCGTATTTACCTTCCACATTAATATTTATTTTACTTTTTATTCTTTTACTGCTGTGTATGTACAAACTTTCCTCTGCTTATTGGTTCCAGTCAGGTTTTTGCAAGCAGCCTCACGTTTTTGGAGCGATACAGTTTAGATAAAGGTTGCAAGTTGGCATCCAGTACCAACCAGTAGAAAATGTTTATTTCATGAAATCAGATGACTTGCTGCATTAAAAAATCCCACAGCAATACAAACAAACAAAAAACAACCCAAAGAAAAGAACAACTTTGAAATAAAGTTGCCACTCAAAATATTAAATTGACTGTTGTAGAGACATTTTGAGATGGGCCCTTTCTCAAATAACAAATTATAAGATTTATACAGTTATGAACAGTGATCCACAAATACTTGGTATACTTGGCAACTGTAAATATATCAGTGATATATAAATATTCAGTGATATATCCGCAACCAGCAAGACTGTTGTCAACTTACAGAGGAAAACATTTACTCGTGATGATGCTTTGCCTACTCTGGTAAAAAATACTGGATACTGCTATTTGTTAATGCCAAAGAATGAGCAGTAGAAGAAAAACATTTACAAAAATTTAAGAACCATGTAAGTTTTTAGGTTCATACTAATCTTGCTAGTGTCACAGAGAGAGAGATGTATTTGATGCTGGTAGAACAAAAACAAGTGGGTGCTTTTACCTCTACAAACAGTTTTAACATAAAAGTTCAAAATTGCATAGCCTGGTCCCATATTGATAAAAGACTGAAACTATGAATAGAACCTAACAGTTTGCAATGTATTACTTTTAAAAAACAATCTTATAGGTACTAATAATTGTAGCAATTTGTCATCCATTTCAGACATTCTTAGCACAATGCAAGATAAGAATAAAGAGATGATAGCATATCTTCACAGGGATTTTGGAGCCATCGTGTTTTTTTGACATTATTTTGAAAGCAGTTAGGACACACTATCCTATGTCTTCAAATTTTGATCAACTATTTTATCAAGATGGGTTATGTACAGATTTTAGACAAAGATAGGTCATGTGCACAGGAACCCTCTCCCCTATATTACAGCCACTTTAGCTGGACTTCAAGCAAACACTTGTAAGACTTTGCAAGTTCTGGATAAGAAAAGCTAGTGGGAAAGAATCTCAGATATAGGGAGAAATCTGCTGGGGAACATTGGATGTTATTGTTCCAAGACCAAAGGAAAATCAAAAGATAGAGATGGAAACTGGAGAAAACATCTGTTTTCATGCTTTCCCTTTATCCTGTGTCTGTCCTGAGTGTGCAGGCTCTGAACAGAGACCATTTTCTGCATACAGTTCTGTCTGTATCTATTTATCTATTATATACCTCTAGTATATCTGTTATAAAGATGAGTACAACATTACCATCACCAATAAGAAGAGAAGTCCATGAAGGAACTGGCTTTCCATAAAGCTGTAAGTGAAGAAGCATTAAGAAGTAGTGGAACCCTTTAGGCTAAGTACTTTCTTTCTCCTCATCTGTTGAAATGTGGGGCTAGAGGAAACTTCAGCAGATCCCTAGTCAAACCACTTGCCTCAGGCCAGGTAAGGTAAATACCAGCCATCCTTTACGGCTTCTCCACCAACTTCATCAGAAGTCTCAGCGAAGGGGATTATGCAGGGGTGGGATTTTTGGAAGCCTGTCCTAGCAATTTATAACTTGAAGAATAAGAAAGTTCTTCTGACTATTCCCTAAGGTTTTTGCATAGTGACTTATGCTGATTATGTTTTGTCCTTTGTTGGGAGAACCAGCTATTCATCAATCTCTTTGTAAACTTATGCAATATAGAAAGTCATGATTGAGCACTCTCACAAAACAAAGAAAACATTGACATTTAGAAGAATATTCTTAGTATAATACTTTGATAAAAAGATCTATTTTAAATGCTCAACACTTTAGCCTTAGTTTTCTTGCTCTTGGATATACTCTCTAGTCTAACTCATTTAGCCTTTCTTCATAGATCATTTTCCTTATCCTTTATCAGGCTTGTCACTTCTCTGTCTGTCTGCATCTGTTAGACTTCCTGTACTCAAGATTCTCAGAGGCCTCACCAAAACCAAGCTGAATTAAAAAAGAATAAAAATCTGTATAAATACACAAATGTACATACATCTCTATGCAACTCCTTTATTCTAGGTTGTTTTTGTCCGGTAGGGCCTGCCAGATTATTGGCCTATTTTTTTTGCTTTCTAAGGAAGAGTAGTGTGTAATTAATTTTTTAATTCCACTGTAATTCTAAAACTCATCACATTTTTATGACATTTTGACTTGTTTATGTAGGACTATGTCTCTTATTTATTTGAGTCAATTTGAATCCCATTCCTGGTATCTGTAATGTCTCCTTTTATTTCTAAGTGTATTCTATTTCACACCAACGTTTTAAAAAAGGAAAAAACCCTGCCACCACCAAAACGTAATCACCTGGCACATCTGGATGAGACCTACTTCTGAAATATCTTGCTATCTCACAAGTAAACCTTTTTGGCATTACTGGTGAATTATCTGTCAGCAGTACCAATGGCAACTTAGCAGCTCTGAAGGGAAGTTGTGGCACACTAAATTGTTGCTGCTTTACAAACCCTCCTTCTGTGAAGGAACACAAATAAAAGCACGTTTTTGAGTGTATCACTGTGTAGTAATAATAAAGACAGCTAGGAACAATGGCTAAACATAGCACACCAAAATAATACATTCAGATTTTAACATTTTCCTGTATCTGTTCTTTCTTGCACAATAAGCACAAAGGGAAGAGGTGAAAACTCTTGTTTTGCCTTTTCCCCACTTACTGCTGCCTGCATGTGGACAATTCTTATGAAATTGATTTCTTCCTCTGTACTGCTTCAGGTTCACTGTGTACTACTTGTCAGCGCAAGAGCTGCTGGGG